AAAAACTTTTCTCTTCTATTGTCTTGTTATGGCCTGAAGGGAGAGAATAAAAGAAAAAGGAAAACGAGGAGCAGAAACAGGGAAGTGCTGTAGTAAGGAGGCTCACATATCCATATGCAGTGAAAAGTAACAAAAAAAAAATATTTAATTTTGTCAAAAGAAAATTATGATAACTAGATGAACGTGGAGGAATGTACAGACAATTTTTATTCCTAAGAAAAGGAAAAACTTGAACAGTCTTTAGAACCTGCTTTGATTTCACTGAATCATGAAATACTCAAATGAAAATTAATCACGTGAACTTCATGCCTTTGAATCTTGCTCATTAGAGGGTGACACGCAATCTGGGGTCCTGGCACAGCAGGTGATTCATGTGGTTAATAAATAACTGCTGATCCTCTCAGATGAGTTTCTGAGAATTCAGGTCCAGCTTCACAAAGCAATTTAATTGTCCAGCTCTGTAAGAGGATATTACAGGCTCTGAGTTTATCTAGGAGGGAAAAAAGTCAGTCAAGTAGCTAAGGAGGGAATTTTCAGCAGTTGGCAAAAGGAGCAAGTGGGTGCTTAGGCTGGCTGATAGGAAATGCTAAAGAGGGAGATGTGTCTGAAAACTTCCATCTTTCCTGGATTTAGGAGGATTAAGTCAGGGATCTAGTCTAAAACCCCTTCCAGTGCTTGGACATCTTACTCATGATGTCAGTGTCAGTTGTGCTCAGGCACCTCTCTTGCAGAGAAATCCCCAAGTATCTTTACATTGACTCAACTGCCAACTCGTACTTTTTACATTAGCAAAATGGGACAAGTTCTCCGTCTAGCCAGAAAGTGAATTGAGCCCAGGAGGCAGCTCCTGAATATTGGTGTAAATCTATTTAAGTCAGTGGCATTATTCTTACAGGGAACCCAACCTCTGAACTCCAACTTTCTGTAAGGACAACACTGAAGAGAATACATGGGAAAATATTTTCATTCCACACAGCAGTGCCGGACTACTTTCCATTTCTGAGATGCTGGGGTAAGAAAACATGGATCATTTAGCTCTTCCCTGCTTAATGGCTTTGCTCTTCTCCGTTGTGGTGAGAGTCAGTGGTGCCTCAGAGGGGTGGAAGTCTATGGGCATAAAGAGGGAAATGCTGTTGTCTCTGAAACTGTGAGTAATATCATTTTCCTAGCATATAGTTTTGCCACTTGTCTGCTAAAAGACTTGGCTGGCAGGGTCACAGGATAACTAATTCTTCTCAAGAGAAGAACAATTGTAATTTGCTGAAGTTCCACTGGTTCTTCCAATCATTTGGCAGCTGGACTGACATACATTCCCTTTGCCCTTCAACTTTGACTGTTCCTTCACCTAAGTGGAAAATTCCCCGAGAAGTCATGTTAGCCAAGACCAAATTTGCAGTTGCTGACATTTGTTTCTTGTTCAAGTAGCAGAGAGATCCTGAGCAATTTGACATGTGAGAGCACAGAACAAAGCCTACCACTTAAACAACAAGTACATTCGTTTTCTGACTGAAATGTTAAGTGAGGACCTTGCTACAGCCCTTCGAAATCTGATTTTTTTCATTTAAAACATGAGTTGGTCCTGGGATTTTGGCAATTAAATATCCAGTAAGGTGAGGTTGATTTTTCACTCAACTGTCTCTATTGTAACTAAATCAGAGAGTTGTTGAGAGTGCATTGGTTTAAACCGCCTGTGAAGAAACACCCCTCAGCTGAAAAGCTACTTTCTCCTTCTTGTTCCCATCAGATATGCTTTTCATTGCCTGTCCTAAACACTTACATAAGGTTGGCAGTCATCTCTATTTCTGGATACATAATTCCAGAAAAAAACAAACCCCACCTTCAAATGTGATTTGGCACATAAGCTAAAACCATGCCTAGAAACGCTGTCTGCACAAACCCCAGCTCATCTGATATGCAGGACACTGGGTTTTGCCCTTGTTTTGGTTCCTGGTCATTTATGAGGACTGGGTATACAGGTCTCTGATTACTTGGCCATTACTTCCATTTTGTGGAAAAGTGACATGATGAGTTGGGCACCAATTGGATCTATATTGTGGTGGACATTTCTGAAGAGGCCCAGCTGACATGTTGCTGCTCTACTGACGTCTTCTCTCTCCTCTGTCCTCATTATACTTATACTGTTGATTCATTTTGTCCACTCTGCCAATTCCCTCTACTTCTTATGCAGAATATTTGTTCTTTTGTTGTTGTTTCCGATCCCCCACTTGGTGGTTCTTCTACACACAGGACAAGGCTGTCTGTGCTGTCTCTCTTTGTGCAGCGCTGAAGACATAGGGGCCCTGGGTATCATCACTATGCAAACAATTAGTAACAGCAAAGCAGTGATGATCACGATTTTTTTCACATCAGATCACAGGCAGGTAAGACTGGCTAATAGCTCCACACATCTTTTTAGATGTGTATTTTCCATGTTTATGCATAACAGTTTCTGTCTTTAATTTATTTCAGATTTTTTTTTTTTTCTTTTCAGTCTGAATGAAAATTTCATTGAGTTATTGTGGCATCAAGTTCCAAAATATGAAATGAGAGGTGGGTAGAAGTTATGAAGAGACCAATGGAGAGTCCCAGGCTGAAAATATAAGCGTATTAACTAACTCTCAAGGAGGAGAGACCAACCTGCTGCTCTCAAGACACATTTGATTTGTGTGTTGTTCACATATGCCACTGGTGAGACTAAAGGTCTTGTTTGCCTGGTACCCTGTCTCTGGCACTGGCCAGTCAGGGATACCTGGGGGACACTGTAGAAATCAGGGAAGCATTTTGCAACACTTCCCCAGCCTATTTTCCTGGCTTCTAGAAATTTTTCTTTGAGGGATACCTTCTCACCTTATCAGTACTGGTACAGAGATTGTTTGGTCATCCAGATACTAATTGTAGGAAGAAGTGAGTAAAGAGGGAATTTCCTGTGGACACAGCTTAATATCTAGGCAGCTCCATCTCACAGGTAACAATTTGGGACGCATGGAAACTCTTGTAAACTGTTCATAGAGCTCTGCTTTCCCTGGTTCCCTGAGGTGTGGGATATATGCCCTGTGTCTTGGGCATCTGCTTGGTAGGACCAGAGAAGCTGGTCACTTAAGATCTTCAAGTCTCAAGAGACTGCTTGCAGTAAATAATTTTAACTGAACAGAATGCAACTACCATGAATTCTATTTTATATTAAAATTCCACCACATATCATGTTTAGCTAAATTTGATTTTTGATTTGTCTATCACATGGGTCCTCGTTGAAGTCCCACTGTAATTAGAAGGGTAAACCCAATAATTAATTTGTTCCCATTTCTTTGCTTTTTCCTGTTTTTCACTGGTACAGTTATGTTGTGAAAGTGTGTTATAAAACAGAAGGAAATAAAACTTATTATATGGAAAATCAAGAACATCTGATGTCTAGAAAGAATAAGAACTTGGGAATGACAGGCTGAAGACATCTGGATTTTTATTTAAACAGTCTTCAGCTTTGTATATGAATCATCTTTTAAAAGCTGAATGTGTTTCAAAAACCCTTATTGACTGTCTAATACTATTCAGGTGTGTATTTGATTTTATCTTTATACTGATGTATTGTACAAGTGAAAAAGCCTTGAAATAATTTAAGTACAATTTAGAAGTTGACACCAGTGCATTAAAGAAGAGGGAGAAAAAAGAGGAGGCAGAGAAGTAGGCTGATTTTAAATACCCATCTCTCAAGACTTGTGCCTGTGGAGTTAGTTTCTGACTCTGGATCAGATTTTGCGTAATTTGAAGTCAGAGCAAACCCCCTGATTTACAGATTAAGGTACCACCAGCTGCTAAAGCAGGCAGAGATCCGATAACACGGGTCAATTTGAGGCACGTATGCAAGTCCTGCTGTGACAAAAACGGAGGCGGTTAGACTTTTTGCTCCAAAAGACACTCTGGCACTGCCGGAAGATTCATTTTGTCTGCAAAATCAAGCATGTAATTTCCCTTCTCCCGTGCTCTCCCCTTCTGTCTCTGTCTCCGACCAGTCCTGTGGCTCAGCGGCAGCAGCCAGTCTCCCTGGTGACAACCAGGACGGCTGACCTTCAGCAGCCTGGTGTGAGATATCCTTTCACTGCAGGACGTGGGCTAGGAAGCCCCCAAATTGGCTTTATTCCTCCTGGCCAGAAGGAATGCAGGAAAGCAAGCCTGGGGAAACCCTGAGAGACTGCTGTGCTTGAAAAAAAAAAAGTGAAGAAATGATGTATGTTAAAAAAAACAAACCAAAACAAACACACACACCCCAAAATCATCTGCCCCTCAGCATCCAAATTGCATCCATAGAAAACTTCCAGCTTACTTGCAGCGTTATGTCAGATTTACACCGTGGGCACAGAGATTAAAACTGATCCCTACCATTCATCAGTTAACACCAGCTCATGTGAGCCTGTGTAAATACATGTGTTTGTCCGTACAGCCGTCACGCTTGGCATCAGAAACAAGTCCAAGTCTCCACAAAACCAGCAGAAGAGGCATTTCTAACTATTTTCAGATGAAACAGAGGTACTTCAGTCTCTGGAGTGTCAATTCAGTTGTCAATTTTATTTACAACTTTTGGATGTTATCTGCCACTGGTGAATAACTTACCAGCCTGCACAGATAACTTTGCTTTTTGTTTCAGTCCAGCTTGAGACAGAAATCCCGTAAAAGCTTTCCTTCCAATCCGTGTGCTGAATGATGATACAGGAGTTAAAGAAGAGAGGGTAAAATTCCTGAGGCACTCCTAAAGACTTTTCCAGGAATTTTAAAAAGCCTCTTAAAAACGGCAGCAAAGATCGAACGCTGTTAAGGGAGGGGAAAAAAAAAAAAAAAAAAAAAAGGGGGGAAGAAAAAACTTTGGCAGGCATACAGTGTCTTACATCAATCTAGCAGTCAGCATCTATGTAGATGTTCTTTCCTCCTTTTGTGCAACACCCCTTCCCTCCTACAGACCACCCAAAGCCCTATAAATAATCCAAGGACTGTATTTTTTCTCCAGATTTCTCTTCAGACCTCAAAGGAAAAATATCAGGCAAAGCAAGGGAGAGAAGGAGAAGTGAGGAGAGGAGAAGGAGAGAGAGAGAGAGAGGAAAGATGGCTAGTGAATTTAAAAAGAAAATGTTCTGGAGGGCAGTGGTGGCTGAGTTTCTTGCCATGAGCCTTTTTATTTTTATCAGCATTGGCTCGGCTCTGGGTTTTAACTTCCCAGTGGTGGGCAACAAAACATCTACAAGGTCTCAGGACAACGTGAAGGTTTCGCTGGCTTTTGGGTTATCCATCGCTACCATGGCACAAAGCGTGGGCCACATCAGCGGTGCACACCTGAACCCAGCTGTGACCCTGGGCCTCCTGCTGAGCTGCCAGATCAGCATCTTCAAGGCGCTGATGTACATCATTGCCCAGTGCCTGGGGGCAGTGGTGGCCACAGCTATTCTGTCTGGAGTCACCTCCTCCCTCCCAAACAACCTCCTGGGGCTCAACTCGGTAAGTAGAAACTTTTAATTCCTCCATTTTTTTTCGAGTAGAAATGTAACACCTGTAATCTAGTAAACATGTGTGGGGGGGTGGGGGTGGGGGGGTAGTGACCTCAGGCAGCCAATTGCTTATTGTAGCAGGGGATCCAGCCCTGAGTGATACCAGGATCTATGTCATAAGGACGGTCTTTCCTCCCCAACCCCCATTTCGGGGCTTTAGGACATTACCTTTGTGATCAGTCTTGCTTACGTTCAACTTTGTACATCCAAGTTGCTGAAAGATGCCTTTTGACACCAGTCTAACACTGAAATCACTGGCAGTTGCATGATCGAGTCCCTTTCATGGTTCTGAAGGTCTCAGGTAACACTCTGATTAATGCACACATGTACCAATGCTGTTTTCGCTTCTGCGAATGTGGTTCTTTTTCAATACCTAATTAATGATTTGTGTAACTTGATGATGACTGCAATGAAAACCTATGGGAACAGCGAGAGAGATGTGTAGCAAGAGAAACCCTATCACCAAAGGTGTGAGTGTTACCTGTTGCATTAGGCAGAGTGCTCAGATCCCATCTGACACAGAATTCCAGTGGCACTTTCTGTGTGTTTTTCCTTTTGCTGTGTAAAAATGGGAAAACCTCTGAATTCTCAGGTGCAGACTGGAGAAAGGTGTGAGGCAGCTGCATTTAACAGGGGTGCAGGTTGTAGCTCTCTCCCACGTCATGCTGCATAAAAACTGCCTGGCCACAACTCTTCCTCCTCAAAATGTTGTCATTTTAATGTTGTCATTCTACCATAACTGGAGACAAAAGGATAGATACACTTTTAAACTTGAAATTATCCCACTGTCAAATGCAGTGCTACAGCCACCACGGTACACAGAGTACTAGAAATGAAAATTGCTCTCTAGTCACTTATTTCACCTCATTCTGCTAAGGACAAATATTTCACGTCTTTTCTATGGCCCCTTTCTTGCAGAATATTCCTGTCTGCAGTTTGAAACCTGAGCTACTTTGAAATCTTATGTCCATTTGATGTTACAGGGATTTTGGGACGTAAAGCTGCAAATACAGTATCTCTTCAGAAATCATTTAGGCAAAAGGGGAAGAAAAGATCAAAAAAAAACAACTATAAAAAAAAGTAGTATGTTTTTACATGCTGTGACATTACAGTTAATTCAGAAAATGAGGCAGTTTTTTTGAAAACATAATAATATCTGATATTAAAAAGGTGATTCCTGAGCAGCTTAGTATCATCCACCCTCGTGTTACTCTGTGGGTTAGATGTTTACCTGCCTCAAGCCCGGTGCCTGCAGGTATTCTATCATGCCACCATTTCGGAAATTTTGATGGGATAATCCAAAACATTTTGGGGAAGAGGAATGAATCATTTTATTAACTCCAGAAGGCTCTGGCTGTGTGTGTGATACGTGATCTTTTCCTCTAAAACCACTGGTGGAGGGAACTGCTCAACTGCACAGGACAGGGTATCCGCCCAAGTGGTTTCCTCAAGAGGTCCAACTGTCATTAAACATGGGAGGTCTGG